TAACTTTACTTGTTAACAATATTACCGTAAACCGGGGCGAGTCTACCCATTTTTTCAGTTTGTCAACTTTCAAGTGGTCAAACTTTTGTAAATATTAAAGAAAAAAGGCTTTTAATAGGTGTTTCGGAATCGCTATTTATCCCTCTTTAAAGCTGTGAAATCGATTTTAGAAAATATTAACAGTTACGCTGTTACTGTATATTTTTATAGAACTGCTGACAAATCTCTCGTATGGGGCGAGTCTACCCATTCTACTAAAATGAATGTTAACATTGTAAATAATCAAATTTTACTATTAAATTGTTATTTTAGTTACTATATAGGATATTTATGAAGTAAAATTCATAACTTTATTATATATTCCATTTTTTTATTCATAAAATAACACAAATTGAGTATTTGATCGATTATCACATTTTGATCACAGTTTTGTTTTTATAATCATTAACATTATAAAATAACATTTTTTTCTGATTATTGTTGATAAAAATAAATTAAAATTAATATAAATTTACAATTAAATAATTAATAAATAATAATAATTAAAGATTATTAACAAAATCGAAATTCAAACATTGGGAATCATGAAAAATCCTTTTCCCATTCTTTTGGGAGGTAATAATAATTTATAAATAATAATTTATTTAACTTGCATTAAATAAAAAAAGTTAATTTTGTAATATAAAAATTGAAAAAATAGGTAAAATAAACATATTTTATATTTACATTTATATTTAACCTATAAATTTTCTTATTAATGATAAATTTATCAATGCAGAATTAAAATAATATACTCAAATTCATTTAAAATGACTTAATTTTAATATAAACAAAGTTCTAAATTATATTATTATGCTTTATTAAAACTAAATACGAATGGGTAGACTCGCCCCGCGAATTCTGGCTTTTTGTTTACAACAGCAAAACTTACATTCTTTTTGTTTTTTTTTCATATAAAATTAATGTAATCTTAGTCTTAGATAAGTTTATCACTTAACCAAAGTGAAAATAGTAATAATAATAATATACTTACGGAGCACCAACTAAAAGTTTGCTGATTTTCAATACAAATCTCTCAAAAGACGTTTGAACAGGTCGGTTAAAAAGACACCAAATAAATAAAAACGGATCAAACTACTACAGCGCCATCTTCCTTAGAGTCTGAACTAAGTCTTCCGTCGGTAAAATTTTTATTTATTTGCAATTTAAAATAGTGAAAATTAAATAAAACTAAAATGGGTAGACTCGCCCCGGTTTACGGTACCTTAGAATTAAAATTGGAAACGGTTTATTATTTTTTGTGAGTCTTTCATATTCTTAAAAATTTTGGTATTGATGTTAAGATCTGGCAAATTTTTACACCAAAATTACAAGTATCCAATTAAAAGGTAAAAAAAAAATTTTTTTTTATTGCATTGACAAAGATACGGTTTCACAGATTAAGGTTCTTTTTTTTACTGGGACAATATTTAACCATTATAATTTTGCTCGGAACACAGGAAGAACAGCTAACTTTACCAGTCTTTAAAAGTTCTTCAACCCTTTAATGGGCCATTTATTTCTACTGAAGGTAAATTAAGGAATTTTCGAAATTGAAATTGATATAAGAATAGTAATTGATATAAGAAAGAAAAAACTCATTTAGTTTATAAAAAAAAAATCAAAATTTTAATGTCATTTTTTTTTTTTGGTGGTAAGTATATTTACCACGGCCTATTAGGAACTTATTGATTCTTATTTTTCGTTATTTATAAAATAAATTTTATAAATGCTGCAAAGTTATACTTTTATACGTTTTCTTAAACTATCAATTTTATTCAAACGCACTTCAAGAAAGCTGAATTTATTAACAAATGGAAACCTAAATTAAAAGTGGTAAAAAAGTTCACCATGGGCTTCAAAAATTGGTGGTAAGTATACTCACCATGGCTTTCGAAAGGGTTAAAGAAGCACAATAAAATTAATACAGCCAACTTCACAATAAAATTAATACAGCCCACAGAACAGAGTAAGAATTACTATTCAAGGGGAAATGCTGGGAAAAGATCCAGAAGAGTTGGAAAGACTACGTCATACGTCCGCTATGGAATCTTTTGCTAATTTCAGAGTTGAAACAGGTCATAATTGTTTAGCATGTCTCGTAACTACCACCGTGATTATTAAACATCAGTTCACTAGTGCATAAGACATGCTAAGTCGAAACAAAGTACCTTTCAAAAGATGAATGTTGGTGAAGTCGAAAGCTCAATCCTCACGTTGGTGATCTGCGGACGTGATGTGACATCTCCAACCTCGATAGTAACGCCCATTTCGACTAGGACGCGCTTACTTCGTGGAATGGTACACATTGAAAAGTTGACTTGCTATTTGTGACTGCGTTATAGTCCTCCTCATGCTGTTGCTACTCAGTCTCTATCACACACAACGGGATAATGCGCATACCCGACTACTAACAACGTTACAGGAGAGGACACACGCACAACCGCTAATTTAATATGACTCTCAAGACAAAAGTTTAAAATTTGCTGAACTTAATACAGCTCTCACGACAAACACTCAATATTTGGTGAACTTAATACAGCTCGAGCAACAAGCGCTCAAAATTTGGTGAACTTAACACAGCTCTCCCGGTAGCATGTAAACTACCTTTACATCTACAGTATCCTCAAGAGATTTTGAGCTCTCTGATTGGATTCCTCGGCGTTGCCTTCTGCTACGTCTTTTTGTAGCTCCTCCCCAACATCATTTCTCCGTAGTACATTCACAAAATGTAAATCAATCATAAATCAGTTCCAGTATATTTCTCATACTAATTTTAAGACAAATGTTAAAGTTTTGTACAAAATATAAAATAGCGTCATCAATGGTCGTTCAAGAATAACGCATTTATTTAAATCTAATTTGCTTTAAATTTTATTCTTATATTTTTCTTTATTTGTTTGAAATATTTTTCCGTACGTTTCAGTATAATATTTTTAAATATTAATGTTATGAATTTCAGGTAAACAACCATGTTTTGGTGAAACATCAAATTAGTACAATAATAATTATTAAACATAAATTAAAGCATTATTAGCTAGCTTTTATATAATAAATATAAGAACTAATTAATATTCAAATTGAATAGCATTATGAATCTCCTTATACACTTAGAAATTAAAATCTCTTACTTTAATTTATTAAGTATGATTGCAGAACCATTCAATACAGTTTGAATTTATTGTATGAGATTTTAAAATGTATATAAATTCATCTTTAAAAATTTTGTTGTCTGTTCTAAAAGAGTAAGTTTCAAATTTCTTCTAGGAAATTATATTCATTGCATGAATAATTATATATTTTAAAATCTATATTAGCTCTTTTTCAGTAAATAAGGAGATACATCCATTTTGTGCGCCCAGAAAGTGCAATAACAGTGACAAATAAACGCTAAATACGACAATCTTAAGCTGCATAGTTTTCCACCAAATTTATTTGAAAATTTTCGAAGTCCGTGTTTTAATTTCATTCTATCGAACAGAAAGAAAAAAAACAGTAAGTATGATTAAAGCTGTTAGGATTAAAACTTTTTATCAATATCTGTGCTTCTGTTTTGATTTTCATGTTCTATATTGCTCATTCCCGTCTGTAATGTCGCATAATTGCACGAATTTTTGTCTATGCTTTCTTAAATGCTTTTGTAGTAAAATTTTCAAATCGAATTATACTCCGAACCCGTTGTCATGGAAACTGGGTTTCTTTAAGTTGGTTGGGTGCACAAGGTAGGAAGGAAAGTGGCCAATATTGGCGCTAAAGAAAGCAAAGAGCTAAATTTTTTTATTCGCCAAGAATCTTACTGAAATTATGAACAAAATACTGACAAGAATAAGATTTTTTTTTATATCATTTAGAAATAAGCAGATTTCTTATTATGATTAAAAAAAAAAAGCAGATTTTTTTAAAAATATTTTTTAACTAAGGGAAACAAATTTTAAATGAAGCAAACTATCGGATTTAAAAAGTTAATAAATATTTTCTTAATTAAATCTAAATAAATAAAAAAAAAACTACTTAGATGCTCAAAAATACTTTGCTTTCGAAACCTATTTTTCTACGCAATCTTTTTTTTTTTTTTTTTTTTTTTTTTTTTTTTTTTTTTTTTTTTTTTTTTTTTTTTTTTTTTNAGGGGGGGGGGGAGTCTACATAAACATGAATTCGATAGTTTTCATTGATCATGAAAAAGGTCATATGTATTCTTTATAATATTTACAGTATTTTTAAAGTAATAATTTTTTTGAAAATATTTTCCTAATTATAAAATTAATTTTTTTATTCTGAAATATATCTGCTTCTATGAAACAAAAGAAATTTAGTAAAAAAGATAACCCGCACAAACAGTATACATGTGGAGTCATAATACCATCCATATGAATACTGCTTGTTTGTTTATCAGCTGCCATATCACGCCCTCTTAGACTCAACACTAACTCTGATCTATCCAAGCGATTATCATGTTGTTCATTTAATATTTTAACAGTTGACAGTTCCTTCTGCAATTTTTTTGCTTGGTCGCCTTGCATAAAATTCAATTCTCTATTTCTCATGAGGAGAAATTCTTCTTAGGTGCTTAGACACATTTTATCAGCAAAAATAAATAAATAAATAAAATAAAATAATAATAATATTTTAAAATATCAGAACCTCCCTTTCCTTTCCGGGATCTCTGTGGGTGAAAGGAGGCTTAAGATAAAAATACCCCCCCCCCCTTTTAAACAGCTGGTCTCGAAATATTTTTCAGATGATGAAATGTTTTTAAAAAAAATAATTTCTTTTTGGATAAGAAAAAAAATTTCGCAATTTTTTTAAATATTGTATTTTAAAAATAACAATTCAATATGACTTGCTTTGATTAATCTTTCTATGTTTTTTTAAAAAAAAGTAAGTATTCAAATTTTAAGTTATTTCAATTCTTATACATTTTACTAGCATAAATTTCATAATTTATAATCTTCTTTTATTAGCACAAAGGCACCAACAACTTCAATGCTTTTAGTCAAGAAAGAGGCTTAGGAAAAAAATATTGTTATGACTAGTGCAAAACCTATTGATAAAAGTATTTATTCTGCCGAAATTACCAGAATTTTAGAAGGTTATAAACAGTTTTCTCCAACTTCAAATGTACTAATTTCAAGAACAGATTATAAACAAGGAATGTGTATAGTTTCAAGTTTTGAGAATGAAGAACCTGTGCGTGATAAAACAATTATTATTTTGTGAAAAGGCTCCAAAGTTTTATTTGTGTATAATCTTTTTAAATCTTGTTGTGTTTTTTACATAAGGGGTTTTCAACTGAAAAATGTGATGTAGTTAGAGTAATAGCCCCAGAAAATCTATAATAATGAGTATATAATGATGAATATAATAATGAATATGTAATAAAAATATTGCTTTTTCTCAAATACTCACCAACATTTTACAATTTGTAAAAAAATGACAGTATTTTTTTTCCAAACTGAGTGAAATATTAATCTTTTTACCAAGTAGTAAATTATGTTTATAAAAAAGTAATTTAGTTATATTGCAAATTTTAATTCAGATGAGGCAGAGTATATCAAGAAATTTAGTATCTTATTAAAATATTGAAAATTATTTTCCGATGATCCCAAATTTCAAAACTCTAAACATTGAGGCATATGGTAGCGTAATTTTTATTTTAAATTACTGCAAAATTAAAAATAAGTTTGAATTGAATGCACTCTCTTAGTAGCAAAAACATACTATATATATCATATTTTTGAGTGAATATTTTGTATTTTTTTAATGAAGGCTGTGATATGTATAAGAAGTATATATGCGAAGTGATATGTAGTGATATGTATAAGAAGTATAATATATTTAAGTTTCAAGATTTTGCATAAAAATTATTATATTCTGTCTATGTATACAAACATCAAAATGATTGTAAATGAATAAATTATGCTTGAATATCGATCTGCACCTGTATATTTTTTGTTCATATTTCCAAGTTATGTCATTGTTTTTACATTTCTTAATTTACTTCAAATTTAATATCTCCATACGCCAATGTATTAATATTGGAATGTTTCCTTAATTAGAGATTGAGGGTTGACCAATCCAATATTTCCCTACTCTTTTATATAAATTTTTATTTGTGAAAGTAATATTTTCATTTTTAAATAATAAAATAATTTCAAAATACATAGTAATAAGAATTTGCTTCAGCTAAAAAATAAAACTCTCTTTAAAACATTAGTGGTACTTACTCTATAGCATCTGTAAGTTCTTTAACGAATGAAATGTAAAAAAGAATTTCAATTTTACATACATCAACTTGAAGAAAGAAAAAAAATTTTATGAAATGAAATATTTTTATAACGCCAAAAAGTAGAGAAAGTTGGCATCATTATTAAATTTTTATTAAAAAAAGAGACGATAATTTAAGTCAAATTCATATAAATCAAATTATAATTTAATTATTTAAATCCATAAAAATTTTAAAAAAAACTATTTTTATTTTAGATGTGTTATCGACGTGGTCTACAAGTAGAAGGAATTTTACAATGAATCGATGAATCAGCCAAAACAGAATTAAGGAATCATTGAATCAATCGATAAATGTTTAATTGAATCAATAAATGAATGAAACAATAAAATCAATGAATCAGCAAAACAGGAAATCAGTGATCAATCAAATCAGTGAACAGCAAATCTATGAATTGGTTAATCAATACATTAGCAAATCAATAAGTGAATAAACTGACGTATCGATAAATCAGTGAGTTATAAATTAGAGAATCAATAAATTAAAGAAACAATTAATGAGCGATTCAGCTTTTTAATAACTGGACGAAATTGTTAATGAGGGAATCAATAGATTTGTTGATAAATAAATAAATGAATCAAAAATTAAGAAATAAGCAGATCGAAGTATAAGAGACTCATTAAATCAACGACTCTCTGATTCTGCGAACCAATAACGAATGAGCGAATGAATCAAAAATTAATGACAAATCAATCAATTAGTAACGGATTATTTAATCATTAATTAATCTTTAAATGAGAGAATTAATGATTTATTAAATTTATAAATGAGAGAATTGATTATATAGTAATTAATTATTAGTAATTATATAGTAATTGATTATTAATGAGAGAATTGATGATATAGTAAATCAAAATAACAGAACAGCCTATGATTTACTCATTTATTGATTTACAAAATAATTTATAGACTCATTCTTTGATCTTGTTATTTACTAAATTTTTTAATAATTAAGCTTATTCATCTACCATCTGATCAGCATCGTAAAAAAATATATATTAAGAGTGGTCATCACGGCACACCTTCTGTATTATAGTAATATAGTCAATTAATTTTACCAATGTAAAATTTCAATACATAAGACTGTAAAAAATGTAGATAGTTTTTTATTTAAAAAAATCAACAATCTGAATCAATTTCTGATTTTAAAAAGCATAGCTGTAGGAATATTAAAGAGACAATAGTAGTTTCAATTTATTGCTACTTTTAACATTATGAATCATGTGATGTTAAAAAAAATCGAAATCATATTATTTACGAAGCTGCAGTGGTAGGTAGGAAGATTATTTATCATTAAGACTGGAAAATATTTGGAATTAATTAACAAATACTACCATTGATATCGCTGAAATGCTAGAAAATATTAACTAATTTTAACTTTTTAAACTAGACGTGAATATTATGCATGAACAAAAATTACATGCACATGTATCAGTGTTATTAGTATAGCGAAAATATTTTTTCAAATTAAAATCTTAAAATAATCACAACTTCATCAAACTGTTAAGTATCCTCCTCATAGAAAGTGGTAAAAAAATTGCATAATCTCGAACGTCTTATTTTAGCTTGCAAAAGCATTTAGAAGCATTGCTTTTTATACACACACACACATCCATCATCAAGAGAGTTCATGGTTAAAACTATGATGGTTAACCATCAAGAGAAGTTTGATTCTCATGAACCAACAATCCATGATGGTTCCAACTATACATTTCCATGATGGTTCCAACTATACATNATCAAAAATGTTGATTGGTGAAGGTATAGGGCCCGCATCTCGATGAAATAACCGAGGTTTGAATCCCTGCTATCGTTTCGACTGGTCGTTACGAATCCTGCTCCCATTTTGCACTGGTAGCAGTGCTGACGTAAAATATCATCAGTAGTTGACAAATGATGGGTCAAAATTTGATTGCCATCGGGATTCCCGAAAGATGTTTTAATGGTTTTCCTTTCCATACCCAAGTAGCACAATTTGCAAAAACGATATCGTAAAAACTTAGCTTTGAACATTGTACAATATCGTAGCGAAACATTGTACTATATAAAAATGGACCCCTTTTATAACGTATATTCAATATCGCGAAACAATATTGTTCGATATTGTCATAACGTTGGGGAACGTCTATCGATATCTCTGAGCATTTCGGATATCTCTAAATTTATATTTTAAATTTATTTTTTGGAATTATAACAATTTGGCGTAATTTTTTGTCTTTTAAATGATTAATTTTGATTTGAGAGCACAATAAAGTTCAAAATGAAAAGTTTTACGAACAGACTTTTAATGTGAAATCGACGGGAATCGTACAAACAATGTCGATTTTCGCCAGTATTGACAATGTCGGTCGATGTAGACTAAAGCTGTTACAATATCCATGTGCTACTTGGGTATAAGGCAAATGTGGGTTAGTCCTATCACGAATTTCAAAAAATTCTCCTCAAGTTCTAGTTTGCCCAGTGCTATACAAGATAGTTCCCTTCACAGAAAGCATGTAACCTTATGGCAAACATGTGTCGGAATTATGGCAGGAATGTGTCGGAAAAACCTTTTTTCAATAAAGCAAATATATTGTAATTTCAAACCTTTCATCCTAAATGGATTAAAAATTATTTTTTAAACCTTTCTAAAAAGCGTTGTCACTTAGGTCCATAATGACGTTTTAGCTGACTTCACGCTAGCGATAGGATCAAATTGCATTGTCCATTAAAATTTCATGACAAGGTGGATTTTAGGTGAGCATACAAGACGTTGAGAAAAGAAAGCTTATAATGACCTAGATTTAAGATTATTTTCACCTTGAGACTAGCTTTATTAAAGAATTTTTTCAAGCTTGAAAACCCTAAGTCAACCTCGATTTAAGGTTTTTATATAGAAGGTTGTTTTCCAAGATTTTTGATTAGGGTAATGTGCGTAGAATGGAGCAGATTGTCTCAGATCTCGTTTTAAGGTTAGAAGGTTTACACGTAAACCGCATAACGAACCTTTTTAGGTTTACATTAAAAGGTTTTTGCTGAGTTAAAATTAACCTTATTTTGCTATATGGGTTTATATTAATAACAGTAAGTGATTTTTGACTCAGTTAACGCGTGATTTTTTTAAAAACGCTGTTTCCTTTATTCGAAATATTTTCGTCAATTTAGCATAAAATGTAACATAAATTTATTGAAAAAAAAAATTATAATAATAATTTCTTATTTTTCAATGTTTAATTACAATAGTTTTTATGCCAGAACAAACAGTGTGAGTTTCATGAGTTGTTGGAATAAATGTTTAGTTCTGAAACGTGCTTTGCAAGTCTATAATTGTTAAGAAAATGTTAAGAATCATTTTGTTAAAAATACATTCATTTAAAAGATGATTCTTTTCTTCAATTTCACTATAAAAGCGTTCAATTAAGAATCTATTTATATTTACTTCCTTAAAAAACTCAAAACACCTATAAAATATATAGATATAAATAAATAATATTTGTTGTATAGTTTCCATTTTTTTATGACACGGGGAAAGAAGAACTGCTTTCTTTTGGAATTCATACAACTCGCACGTCATGAAGCTCATCCCACTCCTGAGTATAAGCGAAAACGTCATTATTTGACGTTTTTGACCACGCCTCCTCAAAAAATTACCCGCAGGGACTCGCAGAAATCTCGCCAAATTTTGGCAACAATTTTGGCGCATGTCAGGATATTGAAATCTCCCGGTTTTGAAGCTTTAATAAATACTTCTCATAAAATTATTCAATATTTTTTTTCTAATTTTTAATTCGAAAAAGAAAATAAACTTAAATATATAATAATCTCAAATAGAACTTAACTAACTGAGAAGAAATAACTTGAAAGATTGAAACTGGCAACAGAACTTTAAACATGTGACCCAAACAAACAAAATATGGAAGTCCGATATTTTTGATTATGTGAAATAAATATGTTATTAGATGATACCCAAGTTTTAAGCTGCCTAATAGAGGCGGCAGAAAATGTGCAAGGATATACTGTAAGTTTAAATCTATATCGTAATTATACTTTTTATTTTGCTCTTTATTTTGAAGTGATTCATAAATGAAGAGGGAAAAAAGTAGGAGTGCACTTTTTACATTTATACTTATTTTTACATATATCTTTTATTGCTGCTTTAGAAATGAAATGTACTTCTTTTAGTAGATTTCTTAGTAATACTACATTTATTTAACAAAGTAATAAAACTTTTTTGTGATGAAACAGTTGTGTATATATGATCTCCGTTACAATAATAGTCTATTAAGATCTACTAAATTTAATTCCATTGATTTAGTCACAGGGTGCGTAGCGTTTTAAAAAAGTGCTTAAAGGTGCTTATTTTCGTTTTTTAAAAGCCCTTAAAGGTGCTTTTTTATCGGGTGTAATTCGGGTGCTTAATTTTCCCTTTTTCGAAATTAGATTTTTCCTTTACCAAGTTGATTTTCGCTACGAATTATGCAGAAAGACACAGTTCACATTGTTCTAGTCAATGTTTTCACCATTAATTCAATCCCAATCTATTTCGGCGTATTGTCAGTCCGTAGCGTATGAAAACGCCAATCGTTTTACATGATTGAAAACTTCCTGAATTTTGATAATTGTCAAAAACAAGGCCAAATTTTTTTTTTTTTGATATGATGGTTAAAACAAGATAAAACCGTCAATTGTCGAAAATTTTCCAACCCGGGGTATGATATTTTTTTAAAGTGCTTACAAATATTTTTTGAGTGCTTGAAAAGAGGTTAAAAGGTACATTTGTTTTGTTGAATAATTTGGGCTATGTACCCTGAGTCATCATAACTTTCCTGATTAATTTAAGAGGTATTCTATAAGAAAATTTTTAAAAAACTTATATCGTTTCAATTAATTTTCTTTCTTAAAATTACAAAACAGCATTATAAAGTGAGTTCAGTATCTAAAAAAACAAATTTTACTCCATTTTTTTCAAAAATTTATTCTGTTCTTGTATAATTTGCTTCCTGGTAATTAATTTTGTCCATCAAATAAGAGCTTTGTTTTCCTTAGGGGGTGATAAAGTAAGTAATCATTGTAGGGAACAAATGGTAGATTCTTTTAAAGGTGTGTTAAGATTGCTAAAAATATCAGAATTTTTCTTTTAAAAGGAGGAAAATAACTTGGCCATTAGTCCTCTAAAAATGATTGTTTTATAAACGTTAAATGTTTAAATTGTACAGGAATGAGATTTTTCTGCCTTTTGCTGGATTTTTGTCTTTATATGATTTTTAAGTAAAATTTTCTGCCTTTCAGTTTTATCATTATAATTTTTTTTCATTCTTTTCGTATGGTTTTTCGAATTCTGTTATTTTTTCGGAAATCTCCCCATTGAAACGTTTGATTTTTGTCTATACCATCGTGATTTCACACCATTAGATGATAATTTTTTCTGCACCTCTCACATGGGTGCTTTCACATTTTCAAATTTTGATATTTTAAGTATGCAATGTTCGAATATAAAATTTGTGTTATCTCATTTTGATGTGTTTCATTCGTGACGATTCCATTGTAATTTAACATTGCTTGATGATAGTTTTTTCTGCAGTTATTAATAATTATTTCACCGCCTTTCAAACGGCTTTTCAAATTTCTGCAATTTTAATAGGATGTTATTACAACGTTCAAATTTCAGTTATCACTTTTTGACACATGTTGTGCTTAAAAAATGCAGCTTAATTTTGCATAATTGGATGATGGATTTTTTTCAGCTGTAATTTTCTTAAGCACTTAGCGCAGTTTAAAAAAAAAATTTTTTTTAAAGTTCTGATATTTCTCAGTACATTATTACTACACATGCCAGTGCTTTCATCAGAGTAAAAAAAATGGGTGAGAATTTCTCACCCTTTCTCAAAAACAGGGTGAGATTTCAGAAAGTTAAGTGAGATTTCTAAAAACTAAAAAAACACTAATAGACTTGAAAAAAAAAATCATTTTTTTTATTATAATACATTTTTAACGTCTTCTATTTTTTAAAGCATTGAATATTTTTGCTGCATCATCATAGAAGATTTTGCCTTTACTAGGTATTTATCCATATTACATTAGTGCACAAAAAATTTGAACGTCTTACATGAAAAAAACTTACCTACGGTAAACACGTAGTTGCAGAGAAATGTGTTCCGAAAGGGGTTCGGAGGGGTTGTGTTCTGTTGTTCGAAAAGGTTCTGAACAATACTGATAAATAGGGAAGCTAGATAACGGAGCAAATGTTGAAACGAATGAAAGATCCAGGAAGAAAAGTGAAACGGATTTTATTTTAAATGGCGTAAATCGAAGCTTTTTCCAAAATGCGAGAAATTCGCGAATTTTGAAATTGATTTATAGAATGCGCGAATTTCTCGCGGTTATAATTTTTTAATGCGAGAAAAGAAAAAAATATGCGAGATTCTCGCGCTGTAGTGAAAACACTGCATGCATTTCGAATTTGGGTTATCCCTTTTTGACGTGTTCAATTTGCAATTATTATGTTTTTTTTCTTCTTCCCCTTGCCATTTCCTCTTATTTTTTCTTACGCTGATATTTTTTACGTGATGTTATTACAACAAGCATGTTTTATTTATTTTTTGTTTTAAATTTAAGAGTCACACTTTGATAGTTTCGCTCAATTTTGCAACAATTCTATCTTCAAGAGCCGCGATGGCTCAGGGGACAGAGCTTTCACCTTCCAATGAGGTGAACTGAGGTTCAATCCCGACGATGGTTGGTCGATATGAATTCCGGCTTGCAACGACCACAGTGCTGACGTGAAATATCCTCAGTGGTAGATGGATCATTGGTTAGAGTCCCCTTTCAGTCAGGCTAACCGTTAGAGGTTTTGGTGGTCTTCCTCTCCATGTAACGCTAATGCAGGTTATCTCCATCAAAAAAGTCCTCTGCGAAGGCAAATTTCTCCCAATACTTGATCCAGGAGTTCCCTTGTCTTCTGTATTGGGTTCAAAATTACAAGTCTTCGGAGTTGAACATTAGTAGTGGTAAGCCCAAAAATTGGGTCGGCTGTTCAACGACCGTTATAAAATATAAAATAAAATTCTATCCTCAGGGTTGCCACTCCACAGAGAGAACGGGGAAAGCCTGTAAGATACAGGGAATTTAAAAATCACCTGAAATAACAGGTAAAAGTGCAGGGAATGTTTCTTTTTCTTTACAAACTGGGGAAATACAGAGAATTTTGTTTCTTATTTTTTGTCTTTTAAAAATGGTAACCACTCAAAGTGTTATCTATGGTATATTTAAGGATGATATTTCACTTATACTGCATTTTTTTTATTTACTATTGCATTATTTAAGTATGTTCAGCTGTTCCTTTTTTCCTGTATGTTTTTCCCTCATTTAAAATTAGTATAGTTAGTCTAATATAGCTGACACAAGAGTACAGTAATTTAGTTTCCTGTTCATATATTGTGTCTAATATGTACAGGGAATTTTTTTTTTCAAATTTGAGTGGCAACCCTGATTGTGTGTCTATATCATTTATGGATAATTTTAACCTACAGCTGTTTGTTCTTTCGTGACTATTTCCAAGAAGTCTCATAGTAAAGGAGCACAGCTGAAATAAAAATTTTGCCTTTTACTTTTTTTTACTTGCATAGTTTTAATAATATCTAAGACATTTGAAGATGAAGGTCCATATCAAATGCAGATGGCAAACCTATGCTCACTAAGTTGTAATCTAAAAGATCTTACTGATTATTACAAAAGATCTTTTTAGAGAACTTGCATTAACCATTTAAAAACTTTTATCTCTTTTTCTTTACTTTATTTTCAGAACCATGACATTTTCAAATCTACAAACTGTTAGTGCCAGGCATAAAATGTCTAAAAAATACTAGTAGAATTAATATTTTTTCTTGTCATTATATTACATTCATGAAAAAAATGAGCAATTTTTAGAATGTTATATAAAGAACTTTTTAACGACTGAAAACAAAAGAATGCACAAACTTAGAAAAATAGAAGCTTGTTAATTGCACTATCATTAATTATAAATCAAAATAAGTTATCAGCATTTCCTGACACATTGGTTTTGTAAAGGAAAAGGTGAGTAAGTTTTATTCTAAATGGAAGAATCATGCTTGATTTAAAAGTATCTTGGAACGTTTCACTGAGGCACAGTAATCAAAGCGAAACAAATAACATTTTATTTTATAACTGTCATTGAACAGCTGACCCAATTTTTGGAGTTTACAATTACTAATGACCAACTTCGTCGTCTTGTAATTTTGAACCTAATCCAGAAGACAAGGGAACTCCTGAATCAAATATTAGGAGTAATTTGCTTTTGTGGAGGACTTTTTGATGGAACTAACCCACATTTGCATTACATGGTGAGAAAAACCACGAAAACCTCCCACAGTTAACAAAGCAACTGTAACACTTGATCTGTCTATCATTGACGATATTTTGCATCAGCACTGTTGTCGGTGCAAGCCGGATGTGAAATTTGTATCGACCAGCCAACGCTGGGGTTCCAACCCAGTTTACTTCATTGGAAGGCGAATGCTCTAACCCTTGAGCCATCATGACTCCATGTTATAATTTAACATGGTATGTAGCATTTTTAAAAAGTGCTTATTTTTGATTTTTGTTTTTTAAAAGCCCTTAAGGGTGCTTTCTTCATTAGGTGTTTTTAAAAAGTTTCCCTTTTCGAAAATGAGATTTTTCTTTCTTTACCATGTCGATTTTCACCACGTATTATGCAAAATTGTGTTTTTCACATTGTTCTATTCATCGTTTTGACAATTCATTCCACCACAATCCATTTCGGCGCACTGTAGGTCCATAGCGTATGAAAGCACCAATCATTTTACATGTTTGATAAAATACTTGCGAGTCCGCATGTACATCTACTGAGCTAAGTTCGGTGAGATTCTTGCACTCTCATGTGCAACTCTGCTGCATTTTGCAATATATTCTCCATTTCAGGCTTCATTTTATATCGAACCGAGAAATCTCTCGATATTTTTATAGAGGCTAGTATAATCACGAAAAGAGTTCTTTGGCAGAAACTAGTTATTTTATCATGATCATGTGAAGTCTTTGAAAATTATTTTGCATTTTGTTAATGTATATAATGCTTAAAAGGTCCTTATTTTTTGTTGAAAGACTTGACTACGCACCCTGTTTAAGTAAATACGTAATATAGCAAATATGATTTATTAAATAATTTAATTTTAAATGATAAAACTTGCCGATGATAAGTTGAAATTCTGTGTCAAAGTATAATTTAATTGCATTAATTTCTTCTAGGTATACATGATGAAAGTGCAGAGGGGTCAATCAGAAGCATCATGGCAAGTCTCAAGGCGTTATANCTGCTGTATTTTGCAATATATTCTCCATTTCAGGCTTCATTTTTTGCACTCTGATATCGAACCGAGAAATCTCTCGATATTTTTGTAGAGGCTAATATAATCAAAAAAAGAGTTTTTTGTCAGAAGCTAGTTATTTTATCATGATCATGTAAAGTCTTTGAAAATAATTTTGCATTTTGTTAATGTATATATAGTGCTTAAAAGGTGCTTATTTTTTGTTGAAAGATTTGACTACGCACCCTGTTTAAGTAAATATGTAATATAGCAAATATGATTTATTAAATAATTTAATTTTAAATGATAAAACTTGCCAATGATGAGTTGAAAATCTGTGTCAAAGTATAATTTAGTTGCATTAATTTCTTCTAGGTATACATGATGAAAGTGCAGAGGGGTCAATCAGAAGCATCATGGCAAGTCTCAAGACGTTATAGTGACTTTGATACTTTGAACAATTTGTTATTATGCTCTGGTTTGGACATCCCCCTGCCCCCAAAGAAGCTTTTTGGAAAACTGGAAAGAGAGTTTGTTGCAGAGAGGCAGCAGGCTTTACAAGTATTGTCTTCATTTTATTAACTGTTTCTGATTAATCAATCTATATTTTTCTCTCATAAATTAAGCCTTAAAAAAAAAGAAGAAAAACTAGGGAAAAATACTTCGTAAAAAGGCACAAAAATGTACTTTCTCTGAATAGAGATATTTTTTTGTTGTTGATGAGTTTGGATTTCTGACCCACAAAATATAGGGGGTAGTCGAAATCTGGAAAGTAGGGTCCCCATAGTTTGGTCAGGAAAGCGATCCAAAGTTTGAACCCCTTAATGTTAATTTTATGTTTTGAGTATTTCACCATCTCCAAAACTTTTTAAGTGATTTGAAATGCTTTTGCGCACAATTATGAAATTCATTTATACAAGAATAATTCCATGCAAAATATAACATTTAGTAAGTATTTATTATTTTATAATGGCCAAAAATCATTTCAATTGTAAGGCATAAAATTTGAGCAAAATCAGTTCCTAAGAAATCGAATTTCAAAAATAAGTCTTATTTAAAATTCGATTTCTCAGGAGCCGATTTTGTTCAAAATTTGTATTTTTTTGTGTTAAATTGCATTCTTTAAAATGATTTAAGAAATTTTATTCTTTACAATTCAAAATATTTTTGACCATTATTAAATAAAATAATAAATAGAGACCAAGTGTTGTATTTTGCATGGAATTATCTTTGGATAAACAAATTTTATAGTTGTGGGGAAAAATTTTACAATTTGTTTAAAAAGTTCTCGAAATATGATGAATTACAAAAATATTAAAATTAACATTTAAGGGGCCAAAATATGGACCGCTCTCCTATGGGGACCATATTTCTCATATTGTGACAACCCCTTTACTTTGGGGGTAAGAAATCCGAATCCGTCGAAAAAAAGAGTATGTTTATTCTGAGAAAGTATGATTTTGTGTCTGATTTCATAACTTAAAATATCGTCTGCATTAATTAATAACACCAGTTGTCCAGTTGAAAAGATCAAAAGATGCCGCTGTCTGATTTATTTCACAAAAGCAGTATCATTTTCTCTCCTTTCTTTGCAAAGATAAAGCAAGGTGACAGGACAGATATTGATTCTTTAGTAGTGAAATAGCTTAACAATATTTTTAGTAAAGGATTAGGCAGAAAATTGACATGCTTTGAAAATGGTGAAAAGTTGCATTTTTTTCTTGTAATTTAAAACAAAAATATTTATTTATTTGTTTCAAATTTAGAAAAAGTAGTGTCCAGTTTGAAGAGATAGAAAAGAACGTTTCAGGGCAAAGATGACTGTCTGCGTTCGGATGCGGGAGTTTCCGCTTTGCGGAGAGTGTGCATAATGGTCAATTCATAGAAGATTCACAGGGAATTAAAAATATGTCCGTATCGAGAGGCGTCCGTTTTGCAGGAGTGTCCATAACAGGAGGTCTCACTATATGTATATATATATTCATATATATGTATATATATATTCATATATATATATATATATATAAGTTCAAAATGTAGAGAAAACATGGAAAAAAATTACAGAACAATGAAAGGGGGGGGAATTAATAAAAATCCGGAAAATGAAAGATACAATCTTTTCATCAGCTCACACGATTATATCTGCAAAAAGGAGTGCTTTCTAATATTGTATCAATATAGCCAAAGCAAAGTATATCAATGCAATAGTGTGAGAAGCACTAAAAAAAATTTTACAAAAAAATTACAACAAATGAAATAGAACACAATAAGTGAAAATATAACGTAAAAACAGATAATGAAATATAAAGAAAAAACAGACATATAGATTTCATTTCATGTTTCATTCTCTTTTTTATTATATTCTGTTTTTGTTTTTTTATATATAAACATATATATCATAAGAAAGCTCTTTTAGTCACCAAAGTTTTTTTTCAATAATGTTTTATCTTTTGAAGGTATATATAAATTTCTTGTTGTCTCATCCATTGCTTTCATCATCTATCCATGTAAAAAGATTCCTTGATCCGGCAAACTATTCCTTTAATTTTGTAGGTAAGTTTAAAACAAAAATTCCAATTGTTACAAGTTAGCAGATGTTATAAGTAAGCTTGAACTTAAAATTTAATTTTTCTCATTTCCTCAAATTCTTTTAATACTTTCTTTTTGGTTTTATAATTGGAGTGTGTATTATAACTAACTCAGATCACTTTTTTGCTTTTAAACCTCAGTTTTCTTGTTACTCTGTAATTAATTCTACACTGTACAAAAAACACTGTTTCCTTTTTTCATGTTTTATTTTATTAAATGCATAATTTTTATAAGAATTTTTTTTTTTTAATGCACGGAAAAAAAGGTTTTTCTTCATTTCTTCCCCCCCCCACCCTTCCATAAAAATTTTTTTCAAAAAAAGGATTCAACTTACCAAAAAAAAAAAAAAATTAATATATAGCTCGCTCACCAGGAGTTGGTACTGGACTCCACCTCCTCGGACGAAGAGTTCATTTCAGCGAGATAGTAAGAGGAGAAACGTCTCCGCGTTTGAAATTCTGACAACCCTTAATACTCGCCAAATGCAAACAATGAATTTTTTTCCAGTCACTTACTTTGCTTTGCAATCTGCTATTATACCTTTCGTTACTCTAGCTCAGTGGTTACCAACTGGCAGACAGCGAAGCCTTTTTTGTGGTCCGCGAACTATAATATATTAGTTGTCTTTTTTTTAGGATAATCTTCGTAAAAAATCTATATGGGTTTAAAATATTTTTCTTTCTTTTAAAAAAAACCTAATTTCTTCGTTTCTGTGAAATTTAACATACCAACAGTGCAAAAAATTCTTTTTCTCAAGTTTTGCATCAAAGAAAAAATTTATTCAAACACAAAAATAATCGTGTATGTTGCTCGTGTATCGTGTATTTTGTTATTATAATTTAACATGTGTGTATCAGAAATTTTCTCAAAGAAACTCTCCGATTTAACTTTTTGAAAACACTCATTTTGGACGAAATTATTTACGTTTGTAAATTTTGTAGCCAGAATTTTTTAATATACAATGAAATATTTTTAAAAATCTACTTCTTATTTTAATTTGTAATTCAATACTTTTGTGTTGTACAACTTGATAAAAATCTGACAGTAATATTTAATGTTCCTTCAAACATAAAAGAGTCCTATATAAAATTTTAGAAAAGTTGCAGCCGGCCATTTGACTGGTGTTTTTAATTGCGGCCCTTGGCCTCATGTAAGTTGGAAACCCCTGCTCTAGCTAATTATATGTACTGCAGCAAAATGTCTCAAAAGGAAGAAATATCATAAAATAAATGAAGTATTTAATGTTAAAAATATGCCCATAGAGATTGCGAAATAGATATTTTTTGTCATACGATCACAAAATAGCAACCTTGTTTAGGATATTTCACATCCATCTCCCAAAAATAGCAAAATAGTATTGTCAGGTACCACGTTATAGAGGTGGAGCCAAGTGCCAACTCCTGGTGGTCGAACTATAGAGATGTTCTCGTCACCCAGTTTTTGGATGAAAATGATAGGTTAGGATTGAGTTGCATAGCTGCCAACTGTACTAGATTTACAACTAGACTAATGGATTTTGTCAGTTTCTCCTGGTCTACTGGTTTAATAAAAACTTGCCTGATTTTGTATTTTTCAGATAATTTCCTAAAATTAAGCAAGTTACATAAAAAATTTTTTAATTAAAATAGAATTTTTTCATAATTTATTGTTTTTTTTTTTAAATATTTAAATAAATATTACTAATACATTATGAAGCAAGCTTCAATAATAGTATTCAGTTTAAGGCTTTTTTTTCTGAAATTTTCAGTTTAATGTTTGTTTAGAATAGCACAACCTTTTTGGGTGAAGGGCCACTTGCAGAGAAGGAAGATTAACGAAGAGCCGCACGCATATTTAGTCATGTTAGCAGCAAATATAATTTTTATGTAAACATTAGTGTTCTAAACACAAAATATTTATATCAGTAAACTTGATAGAATATTTGCAGAAAATTAAATACTTTTAATTATTTAAATCTAAAAAAACTTATACATTTTTATAAAATTTTTCACACAATAATTAATTTATTAAATATATATATACAGTGTAACGTCCCATATCCGGACGTCCCTTTCCTGGAAGGGTCGATTTCCCGGACACTTTTTAACAATCAAAATAAACAAACATCTCTCCATTTTCCCCCTTTCCTTAAAAAAAAAAAAAAAGGTCTTTTGACACATTTTCTCTTTTTCTAGCTTGCACTGAACCTCTGATTTATGCATCGAACCCATAAATCACCAGAAAGGGGAAGTGCAGATCTACCAAGACCATTGAGTGACCTTTAGTGACGCTCCTCCCTTGGAACGTAGGAAAAAGAGGGAGATTTGTTTTCAAAACACCGCAATTGAGTCCCCTCCCCCCTCCTTTCCCATGCAGGTGGCTAGTAAAAGAGGCATTTCCTGAAACCTTTTTATTGCAAGAAGAAATACTGTGGAAAAGGGTAAACGGGGCAAGCGTTAAGGTGGAGGGGGAGTCAAAATGGAAAATTTGAATAAGTCTAAAAGGATACATGTCCTTGAGAAACCAAAAATTCGTTCTTCCCCATACCATGTAATATTTAGGAGGCGGGGGGAAAAAGGGGCAACATTCTTTCTTTAGCAGATTCTTTCAGTCATAGAAGAAAAAATAAAGAGAATCCGAACAGCGTGCCTCGCCTTTATGCTTGATTGATAGCCAATGATTGGAGAGTAAACAATAATTTGTTACTTCCCTACCCTCAACTTAAATGATCTCCTCTTTACACTTATTTTCTTTCACAAATAAGGAGGAAATGAATTTTTCTCCTCCACCTACCCACCTTAATGAATGACAGGAATTTCCCTTTCTTGCTTGAATCATTCTAGTTAAAACTGGCGGATTATTATTTTCATATGTCAATTTTTTTTTTGTTTTCTATATTTTAAGCAATAATATTTTTTTCTAATATTTCATATTTTATTGACTAGATATTCCAATACTAAAACATTATTCCCCTAAAAAATAATGTTTATTTATTTTTTCCTTTTTAGATAATTTTAAGCTTTGTTCCAGAATGACATGAATTTCCCCTTCCTGCTTGAATCGTTCTAGTTCAAAATGGCGGATTAATATTTTCATAACTGTTAAATTTTTTTTCGTTTTCCATATTTTCAGCAATAATATTTTTTTTCCTAATATTTTATATTTGATTGATACATATTCTAATGCTAAAACATTATTCCCCTTAAAAATAATGTTTATTTTTTGCTTCTTAGATTCAGATCGTTTATTAAATCATTTTAAGCTTTGTTTACCTTGGGGGTCTATTATACGGAAAAATCTATTATACGGACTTCTGGAAGTCCCACCGATTCCGGATACACGACTTTACACTGTATATACACACATGCAATCACATACATGAATATTGGGAGAGGGACATTAATTCTAGCCAAAAAGAAGCTTGCAGAATGAAACTGTAAAAAATATACACATTTTATAGATGTAATATAAATTTGATTTAAATATTTTAATTAAAGAAAATTTACAATGTTTAAACAAAAACCAAATTAAAGATTTTTTTTGCATTCAGAAGCTCTCACGGGCCATACGTCAACAGCCGGCGGGCTGCATGTGGCCCGTGGGCCTAAGGTTGTGCACCCCTAGTCTAGAACTTCCTTTTTAAATTAATTTAAAAAAATCTTTTTATCTATCAATAATAAATTACTTGTTTTTTACTGTTCACAAATTATGAGTTAACATAATAAAAAACATTTCAAATCTATCAGAAATGGAAAGTATTACTGACCATTTATTTCACTTATAAAGTTGTTGTATTTGATGACGATAAAAATCACTAAATTTCCCTATATATAAAATATTTAGTAACTGTTATCGAGAAATTCATAGTATTTCGTAAAGTCGACTGGATTTTTTCCTTTCTATGTTGGCCGCTATGGAGTTGATTTTATAGGCCTCAACCATTTGAATAATTGCACTAATAGTTCAACTCTCTGCAAACATAATTATCTTTCTATGTTTAATTTAAAAGTGCAAAAGACTTAGATCTATTGACATGCAAAAATTTTATTTTCTACAGAAAACTTTATTAAGATTTTGTTGATATTGAATGCATTTTGTGTTAATTTAACTCACGTTTCAGACAAATTATGTATTCAAATAATTTTTATGTATGCCTTACTTTTTTCCATTACAAAATAGTTTTAAAGTAAATAAATATTTAATTTGAATAAATAAATTATTAATGTAACTCTCTTATAAAAAAATAATGTTAAATTTATTACTTTTTTATTAATATTGTTATCTTTTTGAAAAAGTAATTCGTTGAAGCTTATAAATATAAAAATTATTGTTTTTATTTAAAGAATGATATTATTTAACTGTGTGAAAGTCATAGAGCAAATACTAAAAAAAGTCTAATTGTTCAACCTAATATTGCAAACAAGCTTTAAACCTAAGCTTACTGTAAAAAAAATTAGTGTTTCTTTAAAAAAATATAGATAAGTATTAGATAAAACAAGGTAAGTAACTAGTATGTCAATAACTAGTTTTATATCTCTAAAAAACTTTGTGCTCGGACACTGAACATCTTTCATTTTATTTAAGTATATATATATATATACTATATATATATATGTATACATTTATATATATATATATACATTGTGCGTAGTGCTTTTAAAAGGTGCTTATTTTTGATTTTCGCTTTTAAAAGCCCTTAAATTTGCCTTTTTTTATTGGGTGTTTTTAAAAAGTACTTAATTTTCCCTTTTCGAAAATTGGAATTTGTTTTTTTTTAACCATGCTGATTTTCGCCATGTGTTGCGCAAAAGCGTGCTTTTCAGATTTTTTAGCGTTTTCACAATTCATTCAATCGCAATTTATTTTGGTGTACCGTCGGTCCATACTGTATGAAAGCGCCAATCATTTTACATGTTTGATGAAATACTTGCACTGAGCTGGGCTCGGTGACATTATTGTAACTCTGCTGCATTTTGCAAGGTACTTAATTTCATGCTTCATTTTAGCCCCCTCTAATATTAAACCAAAAAGTCTCTTAATCATTTTATAATGGCTAATAAAGTCAAGAAAAGAGTTTTTGACAGAAACTAGTTTTTTTCATCGTGATAATGTAGTGTTTGAAAATTATTTTGCATTTTGTTAAAGTATATAGTGCTTAAAAAGTACCTAAAAGGTNTATTGTTAATTTTTGTTTCAGAGACATCATTACAGCATGTGTCCATGGTTTTTCGATCTGAACCACAATGGGAAATAGCTGAACCTTTACTTGATTTTGGTATTTTTTTAAAATTATATTTCTATTTTATTGTTTATTTTCTCTAAACAAGATTCATATAATTAAGTAGGAAAGGAAATGGAATATTTTAAACTTTTAAATAAAAAAAAATTTTTTTTACACTGATAGTGTGATGCATCATTGGATAATTAATTTAAATTAAAGTTTTAAAACTAAGGACTCACTTCGTAAGTTAAATTTAGGCGAAAATTCAGTAAGGTGTAGTAGTAATGTCATATAAATCTAAAAACTCCTCGGGTAAAATGTTCAGAAATCTAAAGTTTGTAAGGTTTGAGATCTTAGAAGAGTTAAATTATTGCTCTCTGTTTTGTAAGATATTACCTATACAAATATCTTTTATTTAATTCAATTTGTTGTCGGTATATATCTATTCACTCATTGTCAGCTGAAAATTTTCAGAAGGACAATAATAGTAATAATATATTTTTCCTCTTCAAATTTAGATGTTGAAGTCATTCTCATTATATGAATACCTAAATCACTAAAATTGAATCAGTAAATAGTTAAGTGTGTAACTAGTACAGCTTTAATAAACTGAATAACAATATAAATTACAAACTAACTGAATCACTAGCAAAGTAACTGAAGCATTAAATCACTTACGGAATAATTTATGTCTGTCGTGTTCCACCGGACCTGCACTTTCTTAAAAAAGTTTTGTAACTTTTTTTATTCCATTATCATCATAGTTGGCCAGATAGCCCAATGTGGGCCAATGCCTTCCTCTGAAGATATCTCCATAATGACTTCTGATTTGTCTTTGATCTCCAACTGCAAGATAAAATTGTATTGATGCACAATTGCAAGAAAATCAGACTCCACCAAATCAGCCCATCTCAACCGCGGCCTTCCCGGCTTTCTTGCTCCAGTGGATCTGAAAAGCAGCATCTTTTTTTTGTATTGTCATCACCCATTCAAATCACGTGGGCCATCCAATTCATTCTATTTATTTTTATGTATTTATTAATATCAGGTTGTTTATAAATCTTGTACAGTTCAAAGTTAAATCTCTTCGGTTATTGTTTTCATTTACACCACCAAGTATACTTTTTTTTTTCCTTTCCTCCAAGCCCTGAGCATGGACCTAGGTTATACAAAACCCTTAACCATGAAGCCCAGGACTTGGACAGCACCAAGTACACTTCGCAAAATCTTTCTTTCAAATATTACGATATAATTTTCCTCCAGTTTTGCCATTGTCCAAGCTTCAGAAGCGTATGTCGAGACTGACCTTACAAGAGTTTTGTAAATTAAGAACTTTGTTTTTTTAGAAAGAAATCTAGATTTAATAAATCTTCTCAGTCCTATTTGGCAGGTAGAGTTGGTTGTTTATTTCAGGAGACATTCTGTTATCAATAGTAATAATTGATCCTAAGTAAGTAAAACTCCTTACTGTTTCAAATCTATTTCCAGATAGGGGTTTGGGACTCTGTTTCTTGAAAATTACATGTATTTTGTTTTCTCTACATTTATTCCAAGTGACCTTAAATTCAGATTTTTCAACTCTTTGCTTATGACGCTTAGCTTGCTATCTGCTAATCAATGGCGCTTAGCTTCATGGTGCGTAGCGTTTTTAAAAAGTGCTTATTTTTGATTTTCGTTATTTAAAAGTCCTTAAAGGTGCTTTTTTCTTGGGATGTTTTTAAATAATGCTTAATTTTCCCTTTTCAAAAATGAGATTTTTTTCGTTACCACGTCGATTTACGCCACGTATTTTGCAAAAGCATACTTTTCACATTGTTCTGTTCAACGTTTTCACAATTCATTTACGCTTACACTAGGTCCATAGCGTATGAAAGTGCCAATAATTTCACATATTTGATGAAATACTTGCAAATCCATATGTGTGTCTACTGAGCTGGGTTCGGTGAGATTATTGCCTTCTCATGTGCAACTCTGCTGCATTTTGCAAGATATTCTCAATTTCAGGCTTCATTTTCCACTCTCTGTTATTGAACCAAAAAAATTTCTCGATCATTTTATGAGGGCTAATATAATCAAGAAAAGAGTTCTTTGTCAGAACCTAGTTATTTTAATATGTTCATCTAAAGTCTTTGGAAATTATTTGGCATTTTGTTAATGTATATAGTGCTTAAAATATTTTTGAGCGCTTAAAAAGTACTTAAAGGGTGCTTATTTTTTGTTGAATGATTTGGCTACGCACTCTGTATCTGCTAATCGATGAAGTTTGTCATTCTGGTGCACTTGCTGTACCATACGTAAATGTACAATTAGTAGAGTTATGATTAATTAAAAATTGTAATCTGTAAATAATCTGACTGATTGCATGATATTTGTTATCTACACTAAACGTTTAAAATGTTGTTGATGTTTTCAGGTTGGAGGATACGAAAACAGTATTTTAGTATAAAATCGAAGAATGAATCTAAAAAGAGATTTGTTCTCTCATGGGTACTGTTAATTTTTTTTTCTTGTGGTTTTTATTTTGAAATAATTTCTGTGTAAGAAGAAAATAAATAAATAAATTATTCATATTATGTTTAGACGGCTTTGGGACCAGACCAGTATCTCAATGAAAAAGATTTATCTTCAGCTGTCAAACTTTTAGGCTCCATAAAGGTTTGTAAATATCTACTTTACGTTTTTCTGCCCATAAATAGAAAAAAAATGTGTGTATATACAGTCGGACTTCTATTTAACAAACCTTCATTTTGCGAATTTCTCTATTTTGCGATTTTTTTTTTAAGAACCTGGAACGTTTTTAGAAAATTTCAAAGAAGAAATTGTAAAATAACTTCCGAATAGCGAAGTGAATTTTCTATTTAACGAACTTTTCTTTGAGATGCATTTTCCCTGTTTCTCTAAATGTTTCTGAACATTTCAAACTTGTTAATGCATTTTATGGGGGAAATGACCTTGAACTGATTTTCGAAGCCACTTAATTTTTAGAGAAAGCAGTAAAACCCATTTCCCTTTTTGTTTGCATTTCAAACTAAAAACTGTGACTAAATTTACGGCATGTGGTAATGTATGTTTGAAATTACTTTTATAATAAATGCAGCTATAATTTTATACATAAATTTAGCTTCTTTTAGTTGAAAATGTTTTGTAGCCGATTTCTTTTATTGTTAAGATTTATGAAATAAATAGTAGATACTAGTTTACAAGATAAAGATGTATCAATTGCTATTTTAATTATGTCTAGTGTTTACGAATTTAAAACTTGTTTTGTGTTGTTTAAGTATTTCAAAAGTTATTTTCTATTTATTGAATTTTCCATATTACAAACTTATTTTTGGGATTTAGCGACTTTGTAAAATAGAGGTCCGACTATATTTTTAAAGCTAATCTGTTTAATTTCACTTTTGTTCATTATTGTTGTTTGTTTAGCATCCTTTCATCCTCCCTGTATCAATGTGCTGTGTCAGTTCGAATGGGGCTCTAGTCATATATGATTTTCTGGAAAATGGAAGTATTCGAGATTATTTGTGCAAGGTATTTTATTTATTAGAATTTTATTATTGTTACTCTGTGGATAGTTCTGACTTTTGTTTAAAAATTTGAACAAAATTTTTTTTCATTAGAAACAATTTAAAAAAACAACAACAGAAAAACAGCTTTTTGCACATATTTTAACTATTGTATATCAGTGATATGATTGTTAAACAATATTTATGGTACATTTCTACAAGTTTCTATTTTATAAGGTTGCTCTTCAGTTTCACTTATTACATTGCCAACCATTGTTTCCAAATTCCTTATGTATTGGGAATGCAAATTAGTTCGGTCCGTTTTCAAACGAAGACTCTGGCTGTTATGAATGTTTCATAGTGACAGCTGGTTTTGGTGGTTTCAGAGAGGTTAGACATCTGTCAGTAATATTCAGTTTATATCGCTTTGAGTTTCATGCAAAAGCCCTGTTTTTTACTTTGTTGAATAGGTCAAATTTTGTGGTAACTAAGCAGCATTTGCGGGAGGTTTTATGTTTCTGCTTTAATTGCAAGAAAAGTGCAGCTAAAGCGCATGGAATGCTTGTAGAAGTTTATGGTGACAATGCTCCAACTGATAAATCGTAGGGAATGGTTTCAACATTTCAAAAATGGTGAATGGTGAAAGAAGAATATTGAATGGTGTTGTATACTATGAGCTGCTACAACCTGGTGATTCCATTACGGGCGATTAGTATAGGCTACAATTGATTCGTTTGAGCTGTGCATTAAGTGAAAAACGGCCGGAATATGAGCAAAGACATAACAAAGTTATTCTTCTGCATGATAACCGTCGGCCTCATGTTGCAAAAGTCGTAAAAAATAATTTCCAAACACTCGAGTGGGATAATTTACCTCACCTGCCGTATTCACTGGACATTGCTTCTGATTACTGGCTGTTCTGACCGATGCAGCACGATTTGGCAGGTCATTGGTTTAGTTCTTTCGCAGAAATCGAAAATTGGCCCCTAACTTGGATCGCCTCAAAAGACAAGAAATTTTTTCGAGATGGAATTTGAAAATTGCCTGAGAGGTGGGAAAAAGTAGTAGCCAGCGATAGACAATACTTTGATTAATCTGTTCATTCATTTCGTTCAAAAATAAATTCATTTTTTACCACAAAAGAGCGGACCGAACTAATTTGTACTCCCAATCAATAGCTTAATAAATTACTGCCCCGCTGTGGACTAATCGTAAAGACATGGTTCCCAATAGATCACCAAAGCCAAGCAAAACTGGCTGCGGTCCGTATGCAGGTGGGTGACCACTCTGATCAGTCTGTATATGGGCTGATTGTGCCCTGTATCTGTCCTCGTTAAACTGTTCTACTGTAGAGTGCTGGACATCGCAGGTCATCGGGCTGCTAAAGCAAAGATCAGATCAACTCTGCAGTGGATCAGAATTGAGATGGCATGTCTTCGGATCATCCTCAGGGATGTTTCCCAGACCATCGCCAATAGCCCATTGTGCAGCTCTAATGCAACGTCAATAAAGTACCTACCTACTTACCTAATAAATTGCTGGTATATAAATGTTAAGCTGGTTAGATCATTCGCCAAGCCCGATTTTGAGCAATCAGAATTTGCAAATCGTCAACCTGATATGTTCTTAATCAGCAAACCATTGCAATTTACCTAAATATTTTGAAAAACATCATAACTGCTAAAATTTCCATTGTAAAATATGAGCTAGAAATGTCCGGAATGAAAAAATGATAGAAATGAACAAATAAAATATATGAGCTAGAAATGTCATTACTGGCATCACTAATAATTTTTTTTCTTCTAAATCCTGGTTTTGTATATTATTGGAAATATTATTCTAGTTGTTTGTTCAATTAATACTTGTTAAATAAAATTACTAAAACTAAAAATGTCATTACTGGCATCACATTTTCTCTCTTGAATCTGATTTTGTATATTATTTGAAATACTATTATAATTTATTGTTCAATTAATACTGGTTAAATTCATATTACTAGAATACAAATTGCTAGAACTAGAAATGTCATTACTGGCATCACCAATATTTTTCTTCTTTTTAAAATCTGATTTTGTATATTATTTGAAATACTATTATTATAATTTATAGTTCAATTAATACTTGTTAAATTCATGTTACTAGAATACAAATTGCTAGAACTAGAAATGTCATTGCTGGCATCACTAATATTTTTCTTCTTTCTGAAATCTGATTTTGTATATTATTTGAAATACTATTATCATACTTGCCAAGTCTCCTGTTTTTTAACAAATACTCCTATATTTTACAACTATCTCCTGTTTGCCTGTATATTCTCAAATTTTTCTGTAATTGTAGAAGAAATTAAAAAAAAAAAAAATTCATGATAAAATATCTGCATAATGCAGATATTTTACTTGCTACTTTTCTTATTCCTGACCAGATAGTGCTATAGCCAGCATTGTAGTATGTTGAATCTTTATAGTTTAAGTAATTATAAATAATGGTTTTTAAAAAAATCATCTTTAGATTAAGATTGATGTACATGTTTTTTACTTCGCTAAATGTAAGTGCTTATATTATTTCCAATTTTGAATTTCTCTTTTTGATTGACATGATTATGTATGATTATCAAAACTTTACCCATTTAAATGTCGCTAGTAAAATCTCCGTTATTTTATTTCTCCAATGTTGGCAGGTATGAATTATTGTAATTTTCTGTTCAATTAATACTTGTTAAATACAAATGCATGTTTAATGATCTGATGCTCAATATTTTTATATGTATCAATCTTTTGTTTGTATTTCTTACAGACTAAACCTCGTACACCATTTTTAAAAAAGTATGGAAATCCCAAATCTTTCAATGCATTTGAATTATCGAAAATCAAGACTTATGGTGGCCAAATTTTAACAGCCTTAAAATTTCTGCATGATCGGGGATTTTATCATGGTAATTAATTTGATTTAACGATTTGATTGAAAGTTAACTAATTCTAGTCATCAATAAATAAAGTATTAAGTCATAGAGTGTATCCATGAAATGGATACACTCTAAATTGACAAAAAAAGTACTACATTTTTGCTTTGTTTGCATTCCGGAAAAAAAAAAACAGTACTGAAAAAACCCTATTAGTTGTATTCCATTCATTCTAAGTTTGCATTGTGAAAAATGCAAAAGAATTATAAAATAATTAAAATATCATTTCAAAAGTGTCTTAATTTTATTACTTCAACAAATACCAATTTAATTTTGCTAAAAGAAACTCATTAATGCAGCAATATTTTCACAATAAATTTTTAAGATTGCAAAAATCATTAAAATTTTTTATAATTGCAAAAATCATTAAAATTTTTTATAATTTATTATTATAATTACAGGGTGCATAGCATTTTTTAAAAGGTTCTTATTTTTTATTTTTGTTTTGTAAAAGGCCTTAAAGGTACTTTTTTCAATGGGTATTTTTAAAAAGTGCTTAATTTTCCCTTTTTCAAAATGAGATTTTTCCTTTAATGTGTTGATTTTCTCTTCGAATTATGCAAAAAGACACAGTTCATATTGTTCTATTCAAAATTTTCCATATTAAGTCAATCCCAATCTATTTCAGCTTATTGTCAGTCCGTAGCGTATGAAAATGCCATTCGTTTTACATGATTCAAAATTTCATGATTTTTAACAATTGTCAAAAACAATGCCAAAGGCTTTGTTTTTTTGACATGACGGTTGAAACAAGATAAAACCGTTAATTGTCAAAAACTTTTCAACCCTGCCTAATTATGATTTTTTTTAAAGTGCTTAAAAATATTTATTGAGTGCTTGAAAAAAACTTAAAAGGTGCTTATTTTTTGTTGAATAATTTGGTTGTGCACCTTGAATTATGTTATAATGTTTTGTAACTTTTAAAATTAGCAATTTAAAAAAAAAATTTTTTTTGTTGAAAGAATATCAGTTGGTTTGAATCATGATTTAAACCCAGAATTAATTCAAGTTGATTTAAACCTGTTTTTGTAAGTAAAACAGCATTTATTATGTATGTAGAAGAAGTTGGAGGATTTTCTTTTTCTGCATTTTGTTCCAAGTTATTGGAAAAACTTTGCTTCATTTAAGATACCTAAGAGATTTCAATGTAGCTAATTTTATTGTTAAACATTAGTTATCAAATTTCTTCAATGTTTTCTTTGTTTATAAATATTTTATTCAGCCTATTTTTGAAAATCATAGTTTAATTACAAAACTAAGTTAAATAATATACCTGTTTAACATAAGCATATCTCTCTCAAGGAAATGTGTCTGTGGAATTTGAAAATTGCATATTAGGAATTGTGTTTTGTTTTCAATAATATTTCCTTTTGAAATTCCATAGGTAGCATTCAAGCTGGGAATGTAGCTATTGTAGATGGTCAGTGCAAGTTATTAGATGTTTTCAATGGTGTTCTTGGAGTCCCTTCATTTCTGAGATCCCATATCTCTCAGTTAAAAGGAGTTCAAGTAAAACTTATTTGTTTTCTTAATATTCTCCTGTTGCGAGTAAACAGATTTTAAGTAACAGTTCACAGCAAAGCTAATTTTTTAACATTACCCATACTGTGGATTCCTGCAGCGATGGTTGTGCTCCGGAAAAAATCCGAATTTCCGGATTTTTCGCTAACCACTATCCGAAATTTTCTGAAAATCCTAGATTCAGAATTTTTAAGAAATCACCAATCACATTTATGAATAAAAACTCTTGTATATTTTATTTAAAAATATTAGAACTAGAATTAATACTTGGCATCTCTTTCATTTGTAAATATTTTTTCTGGTAGAATAATAAATGTAATTAGAGATAAAAGTAAACTTATACATAATTATTCATTTAAATTAGGCTGCATTTAATTTATTTAGAATTTCATGTTTTGAAAATATCAATGATTTAAATTTATAAAGACATCAATTTTTTGAAATGCGTCATTAATGATTTTCTTCAGGAAATTTTCAGGATCATTGAGTTGGGCTCACAATCACCCTTGTTCCTGTTTACACTATTTTCTAATTGTTTTATCAAAAAACTCTTTTTATTAATATTTCTATGTGTTTTATTAATATTTCTATGTAAATACAGTACAGAACCCGTTATCCGGAAATCAGAAAACCGGAAAACCAAAAAACCGGAACGAAATTCAATAAATTTTCTCGCCATTTTTAATATTTTTTTTTTCCCTCATAAGATTTTATGATTTTTCTTTCTTTTTTTAAAGATGTTTTCCTTACCATCATTTTGGAAATAATCATTAGTGTATTACTTCATTGTTTTTTCTTATTTTTAAGATTATTTCCATTTTTTTTTCAGTTGGGTTTAACAATAAAAAAACGGCTTTTTGTAGCGATTCAGAAAACCGGAAAAATCAGTTATCTGGAATAGCGGTGGTCCCGACCGTTCCGGATAATCGGTTCCCTACTGTATTTCTATGTGTGGAAACAATAGTTTTTAAAGTTCATATTTTACAGACCGTAGAGAACATTGATGTGTATTGCTTTGGGCATTTAATGTATGAAATGACTTTTGGAGCTCCCCTCTATGAAACCACCTGTGATAATTTGCCAAATAGCTGTTCACCTGACTTGCGTATGTTTAAGTTGTTCATCATTTATGTATGCAAACTAAATTATTAATCATTTTGCACTATCTTTTTTTTTTATTATGCTCAATGCCTCTCTTATTTGTAAACTGTGTTTTTCCAACCTCCGTTGATCAGCTGATTCAATTTTTGGGTGTACTACTACTAATGTTCAACTCCGTAGCCTTATAATTTTGAACCAAATTTCGAAGAAGGGAACTCCTGGATAGTCTGTCCAGGGTATATTTACTACCGTTTAGCAGTAACTTCACAAATTCAACTGGAATGGTAGTTTCACAAAGTACTTTTAATAAAGCAAGTTCTCATGCTCTTGTTGCAATCTGGGGAAAAGAGGAGTTTTTTTGCCAGATGTCTTTTACGAAAAGGTGGCACATGTTTGGTCAGATACTACAATGTGGTAAACCTAAACGGTCACTGACGCCATGTCAAAGCGAGTTTCTTTTTTTTAGCTGACTTTTTTTAAAATGAAACAACGAGGGTCATCCTTTGTAAACTTTACAGAAAGTTAAAGTTTGAACATTATAATAAACATTCGAACATTATCTTAAACACTATTGTAAATTTAATCTAACAGACCTTTATTTTTTATTAAAATTTTTTTTTTCTCTGTGAAACTTTTTTCTGTATGACCTAGTCAAAAATGTTCTCATAATGAAAATAACTTTTAATGCCAGTACTGTTAAATGCATGTTTTTATTAAATTCAAGTTGAAATTTAACTATGAACAATGATTTTTATGGAATTTTAAAATTGGATGCAATTTTAAGCCCACAATTTTACAATAGCAAAATTATCTTTTTTTATGAGAAAAATATATAGAAATGTACCTGTCATAAATGACTTTTATTTGAAGTGACAATTTTTGAAAATATTTTCGTACTTTACACTATTTTTGTGTTGAGTTTTTAATGTAATTTTTAATTTTTACAAATTATGCCTAAATTTTCACAAAATAGGTACCTCTAAAAAAAACCCAGACAGACCCCTGTCAAGCATTGAGAAAAGTTTGGCTTCGTGGAGAACTTTTGGAAGGAACTAATCCGCATTTGTAAAACAGGGAGAACCTCGAAAACCACCCACGGTTAGCCTGATGGCAAAGGGACTCTAACATATGATCTGTCTGCCACTGAGGATGTATTTTAAGTCGGCACTGTAGTCAGTGCTAGCCGGGTGCGGAATTCTTATCAACCAGCCATTGTTGGGATTTAAACTCAGTCCACCTCATTGGGATTTGAATGCTCTATCCCCTGAACCACCACTACTCGTAAACTGTGTTTTGTTAAATAAATGAACTATTCTCTTACTGCCAAATAATTTATAATTATTGACTGTGCAAATTGATGTGTTTAACTTTATATAAACGCCTATTTAGTGCTAATTTGTTTATTTTCTAAATTCAACCTAGGTTCCCTCTTACTGTCGATTCTTTCTAAAGACGGATTAAAGTCGGGACTGCCAAGTATAACAGGCTTGTTGCAACATCAGTAAGAATTCTTTTTCCGATATTTGCCAGCTTTGCATAAATGAATGCTTGTATAATCAACGCATGCTTGTGTTTCGTTTAAAAATGCGATAAATGTTTGTAATTATTTATTGATAAGCATTGTAAACTTCGCCCTTAACATGGATAGCGAGGTGGGACCCATGTTGAGTATGTTGTTATTAAAATATTATGATCATTGATATTTTTCTACTGCATATTGATAAAAATGTTGAAAATTAATATTTGATCCAAAACAATCTAATTGAAATATGATTTTTCAATTGAAATGAAGATAAAACTACATTATCCATTCTATGTAAAGAAATACTTATCCTTTGCACAGTGAAGTGTTGTCTATACTTCAATTTTTTATTCATATTGCTTATAAAATTTTTTTTGGAGTTTTGAGAAATGTTATTTCCCATTGTAAATAATTAATATGCTAGTAGTTAGGATTTTTGATTTGGAAAATTGCAGTCAAAGGTTTTCTTGTTTTAATTGTTTTGGTTATATCGCATTTAGAAAATTCTAAGTTTAAGGAAGTTTTTTTTCTTCCTTCCAATGTCCGCCTGGGGAATGATTTGCGTCATACAGGCAACTGAAGGACAGATTTGTTGACCACTCTTTCAGGGGCACCATATTAGGTGGGCCAATGTTGCTCCCACAGTAAAGACATATAGTACAGAGAATGAAAAAACAGCCCTTCCTTGCCCGGGATTCGGACCCAGAACCTTTCTGATGCAAGGCCAGTTCCCCTACCCCTACACAGGTCGGTCGGCAGTTTCAGGAAGGTAGGCAACGACTTCTAGGTCAAAAGCCGTTACTTGAAATAAGATGTTTTTGTGGTTTTTCAAGACATTTCACTGACAACTCCCTGTTTTGAACATGTGTAATGGATAAAACATCCTATTTGAGTTAGCGTTTTTTGACATAGAAGCCGATGCTCAACTCTTTCAAGTTGCAGATGTGAATTCGGAAGTTTCCGGAAATCCAAGGTCTAGAAGTTTCAAGAAATCATTGATCACATTTAAGCCTAAAAATTCTTGTATATTTTATTTAAAAATATTAGAACTGGAATTTATACTTGATATCTCTTTCATTTGTAAATATTTTTTCTTTTGGAATAATAAATGTGATTAGAGATAAAAGTAAATTTATACATAATTATTAATTTAAATTATGCTGCATATAATTTATTTAGAATTTCATGTTTTTAAAATATCAATGATTTAAATTTATGAAAACATAAATTTTTTGAAATGCGTCGTTGATGATTTTACTCGAGAAATGTTCAGGATTTTTGAGCTGGGCTCACAATTACCCCTGAAGATGGAAAATTTAGCTAATGCATATTGATCAATATTTCATGATTTACCAAAGCAGTTAAAAAAAAAAAGAAAAAAACAAAAACTTGCCGGCAATTTTTTTCCTATTTTAATTTATAAATTGGGAAGTGAGGGCCAACATTGGACCTTGTGTAAAAACAAATCTCTAAATTTTGAAATAGTTTTTGAGACGCAATGATATTTCTGATAATAATAAAAAGTGAGGTTATACATTTCGCAATTTAACTTAGGTTATGTTGACTGTGAAGATAAGTGATTTTAAGCTTAGAAAATAAAAGTAAGCAACTTACGTGGTGTGTAGCGTATTTAAAAAGACCTTAAAGGTGCTTTTTTCATTGGGTGCTTTTAAAAAGTGCTTAATTTTCCCTTTTTCAAAATGAGATTTTTTTCTTTACAATGCTAATTTTCGCTTCGAATTATGCATAAAGACACAGTTCACATTGTTTTATTCAACGTTTTCACAGTTAATTTAACCCCAATCTATTTTGCCGTATTGTCAGTCTGTAGCGTATGAAAACGCCATTCGTTTTACATGATTCAAAATTTCATGATTTTTGACAATTGTCAGAAACAATGCGAAAAGGTTTTTTTTTTTTGTCATGACAGTTAAAACAAAATAAAACCATCAATTGTCAAAAACTTCCCAATCTGCCTAATTATGATATTTTTTAAAGTGCTTAAAAATATTTTTTGAGTGCTTAAAAGGTGCTTATTTTTTGTTGAATAATTTGGCTACATACCCTGTTTAGGTCTTTGTTTTTAAGTCTTATCTTTGAAGTCATAATCTTTAAAGGTCTTTGTTTACTTTTTTGTCAATAGTTGGACAGAATATCCCAATTATTTAAATATCTATCACATTTTAGCAATGTTTAAGCAGTATCTGTTTGAGTGGATGCCTTGTGTTTTGCTTAACCTTTTTATTTTTTTTCCAGCTAAATACGTGTACATTTTTTTTAATGAATGAAAATGAATGAATTTCTTGCAAATAATCAATATTACCATTTGATTATTAGATACAATTTATTATTTCATATATCACGAATAGTCTGTTTATTTATTTTAATGTTGAATGAATTTTGTCATTATAGGTTTTTTGTTAATTCCTCGAATGGTACGGAAAAGGTACATTTAAAAGTCTCTTCACAGTTAAAGGAAAGTTTGAAGAACATGAAAGAACTAACCCAAAAGCGTCTTAAAGAAGATCAGAAAATGGTAATTTTTTTTTTATTTGTATAAGAATTAATCATTTATAGGAATTTTTTTAAAGAATAATAAATATGAGAGTCATACTATATCCATGATTTATTTCAAATAAAATGTGTCTTTATAAACATATTTATATATATATATATATTTATATAGTACAATAAGTAAATACAAAAAGGACAAAAAGAAAAAAAAACGAAGAAAATTAAGAAAAACAATAAGTTTTATTTACTGTGCTGAAACTGCAAGTAAATAGAATTCATACAATAAGTTCAAAATGTAGAGAAAACATGGAAAAAATTACAGAACAATGGAAAAAGGGAAAAAGAAAAATCTGAAGAACATTTTCTATTGAGTCACCATACATATATATGTCGCTAGAATTTAGAAACTGCTTTATTTTTAATTTATTATATTTAAGGAATTTGATTATTCTGGTGTTTAATTACTCTAGGTAGGCCCTGGTCCCATTACCTTCGAATTCTTGAGACTTTACTGTAGTATATGTTTGCATATATTAAACCCTTCTAAGAGTTTGTGCATTTTTTTTTATTCCTCTTCAAAAAATAATAATAATTTTCTCCTTAGATAAGGCACAGCAAAAGAATTTCAAAGGTACAGGCACAACTATCTTGTGACGAAGAAAAAAAGAAAAGGTCGAAAGAAAAAAGGGTGATTCTCAATTTCCTTTTTCTTCTTTTGAACTAATTTTCAATCTCAAAGATTGTTGCTGTTCATCAACAATTTAATTTATTAACAATATCCTATTTTTGTTGCAGAAAATCAATACAGAACTGGTTAACAGTACTTCCAGTGGTGAGCGTTCCCACACACCCTCCACTCCTTCAGGTATTATTCCGGAATACTTTCATAATGCTCTTGATTTTCTTTATGCTTATTCTTTTTTTATTTTTAATTTTTTTAAAGTTTATAAGTAATGTATTCACGATAAACGTTAACTAAAAAAAACTGATTGAAAAAACTTTGTTGTGACTTTATCTAAGTCTTAGTACTAAATTTTATTAAAATCAATGTTTAAAAACTCTCAAAAGGTAAAATTTTTATAAACTTTTTAATGTAAATAATAATATTTCATTTTAGTAAAAAAAAATTACCATTTGTGATTTTTGGATATTGTTTTTAATGAAGTTTAGTTTTATCAGAAATAATTACCCTTGTAACTTTTATCTAAGTATTAAATTGGTAAGTTATAAAGAATAGCTATTAAGTCATTACTCTAGTTGCTACATTTGAACTAAGTAAAGAAAACTCAAAATTTTAAACTTTTGGACGTATTTCTTATGAGCTATATAAAAAAAATGATAAATTAGATCTTAAAAATGATGACATGAAAATGTTTGCACAATAATTTTACAAAAGTGACGCATTTGGGATTAAACTTACATGGTGCATAGTGTTTTTAAAAATTGCTTAAAGATGCTTCTTTTTGTTTTTTAAAAGCCCTTAAAAGTGCTTTTTTTCATGGGGAGTTTTTGAAAAGTGCTTGGTTTTTTTCTTTTCGAAAATGAGATTTTTTCTCTCTTTACCCTGTAGATTTTCAGCATGTAATATGCAAAAGCGTGCTTTTCGCATTGTTCTGATCAACATTTTCACGATTCATTTAACCACAATCCATTTCGGCGTTCCCTTGGTCCATAGCGTATGAAAGCGGCAATCATTTTACAGATTTGATGAAATACTTGTGAGTCTGCATGTGCGTCTACTGAGCTGAGTTCGATAAGATTCTAGCACTCTCATGTGTAACTCTGCTGCATTTTGCTACATATGCTCAATTACTTCATTTCCACCCTCTGATATTGAACTGAAAATTCTCTCGATCTTTTTATAGTGGCTAATATAATCAAGAAGAGAGTTCTTTGTCAGAAACTAGTTATTTTATCACGACAATGTAAAGCCTTTGAAAATTATTTTGCATTTTGTTAATATATTTAGTGTTTCAATATATTTTTTGAGTACTTGAGAAGTACTTTAAAGGTGCTTATTTTCTGTTGAAAAATTTGGGTATGCACCCTGACCTAGCTTTAGAGATGAATCTTGACTATTTTTCAGGAGGGAATGAGTTGTGGAAGAGGGAAAATTTGGGATCAAAATACTGTTATCTGTCTTTAAACATGGTGCATAGCTTTTTAACTGCTTGAGAGTGCTTATTTTCAATTTTCATATTTTAAGAGCCCTTAAAGGTGCAGTTTACTTCATGTATTTTTAAAAAGTGATTAATTTTCACTTTTAGAAAATAAGTTATTTTTCCTTTGCAATATCAATTTTCGCCACAAATTGTGCAAAAGCGTATTTTTTGTATAATTCCATGCACTCTTTTAAAATTCATTCAGTCACAATCCATTTAGTTGTACCAACGGTCCATAGTGTATCAAAGCGCCAGTCATTTTACATGTTGCACTTGTACATACACTGAACTGGATTCAAAGGGAAGGAATATTGCCTTTTTCACGTGCTACTCTGCTACATTTTGCAAGAAATTTAGGATTTCTGACTTCATTTGCCACCCTCTGATATTGAACCTGAAAAATCTCTCAAATTTTAGCTGAACATGAAGACCACCTAACCTTCTCCAATTTTTTTCCCCAATAACAAAATAAAATTTTTCTTTTCTTTATTTCTTTTATTATTCCCATTCTTTATTTCTTTTGTTATTCCCATCGCTGGTGAGGTGCCAGCTTTATCATCTGAAAATTTCCATTGCCCTTTTATTCAAGCATTTATTATTAGCAAGATTTTAAGAAAAGTATGAAGTTAGGGCTTTTCACTATTTTTAACATTTAGCAAATGCTGTAAAAAATCTCATGTTGTTCATACTTGTCATTTCAAAAAAGTTTAATTCATTTCTTAAGCAACAATTGAAACAGAAAATTCAGTAATCTTAAAAATATTTTTGAGTGCTTAATAAGTGTTTAAAAAATGCTTATTTTTTGTTGAAAGATTTTGCTCTGCACCCTGTTAAACTATTTACTCTTAAGAATACTGAATAAAAAGAGAGTAATTTAATAGCAATAATTTCTGTGTTATTGCTAAAGATGGAATTGGCAAAAAAATTCTCATGCTAAGAAATTTAGTATATTTCTCAGCACTCTTAGCCGATGAACACTTTAATCCACTAAAACATTTAGAAAAATCTTTGACTTATACCATGCTCAATTTAGAGCTAAAAAAAACACTTAAGTATAACATTCATATTAATTAATCTCTGTGTGAATAATATATCCTATATATTATTTTTGTTTTAAAATATTAAAGCACTTTTATTTTTAATTTTTTTTAAAAATTTATAAACATGTAAGTGTTATTAGTATTATTTAACCCCTTGATTTTTAACAAAGACGTCTGAGAGACATCATTTGTTTCTTATGTCAAAACAATAATTGACGTGTCTCAGACCTCTTCAACAGAGAGATGCAACTTGCTCCCCGGACAGCAAATAAATATTTTAAAGTGGTAGTTTATGAATTGTGATTCTTATTTTAATAAATTCAATTTAGTAGATTTTTATCCGCCACTATTTCTAAATAATTCGTAGGCTTATATAATTCACCACTTTATTGTAGTTATGTCATGCTATACCTTTTAAAAATCAGGCAAAAATAGTCAAATATTTGCAAAATTTAGTTTGTAGTTATTTACCGTTTTTTAAAAATTATTTTGGCGTGTTCGTAGCAGTTGGCAACTCTGTCAACATTCCGTTGCGAGTTGTTGTTTGCAGTGCAATCACAGATCATTTCCATATCAAGAAATTTAATGTGTCAAGGGATTAATGTAGGAAACTAACGATGTGAAAAGAGCATTAATAATATCAGTTTCATGGGAGAGATACTTTTTCATTATTGACCTAAAATGATTAAATGTCTGTTTATGTTTCTATATTTATGTTTTTTTTTTCATGTTGTGTAATTTTGTTCATAAACAGCTCGAAGGTAACCCTTTCTTTACTTTAATTAAAGCTGAATATTTGTAAAATGTCTTGTACTTTGTATTTAGTGTTGTATTGTGGACAGTCAAATATTTCCTTATCTTTTAAAAATATAAATCTTGATGGCAAGGTAGTCACATAACAGGAAGAACAGAGAAAAGTCTGTTAGTTTTATCAAAAAGCCAGAATTACGTTGGGAAACATCAAAAAAAACAAAAAATCTTTTTAGATACAAATTTAATATTTTTTCTTAAAAGAAAAAAGAAATGATACAAATTTGAAAGACATTTTTTGAAATTATATTTTGGTTCACTTTACATCAATGAATTGGCATCTACTAAAAGTTATATGCATTATATAACCGAGGTTAAAAATTGTATCAATTTCAAGAAATATTTTTTTAGAAAAGTTGATTTAACATTGATTAGAAAATATTAATCTACATCTCCCGCTACTACAGCATTTCTATAGTTTCGAACAAAATTTTTTTCTATTGTTGTAAAAGATAATGCATTCATATTTCAGTAAATTATAACAAAAGAATTTTGACCTCAACAGTATGTAAATAATTTAAATCGATATATTTAAGATCAGATAGGGAATTGATAATGCTCAAAAGTCTTGATATTGGTTTTATAACAGGGTTGCCACTCCACAGGAAGAGCAAGGAAAAATCTGGAAAATACAGGGAATTTAAAAATCACCTAAAATAACAGAGGAAATGCAGGGAATTTTGAAATGTTCCTTACAAACTGCGAATTTTATTTCTTATTTTTGTCTTTTAAAAATGCAGATCTCTCAAAGCGCAATTTATAGGATATTTAAAGATAGTTTAGCTACATTATGCATAGTGCGTAGAGTTTTTAAAAAGTGCTTAAAGGTGCTTATTTTCGATTTTCGTTCTTTAAAAGTTGTGCTTCATTTTTCCTTTTCAAAAATGAGATTTTTTTCCCCATTACCATGTCAATTTTCGCCACGTATTATGCAAAAGCGTGCTTTTCACATTGTTCTACTCAATATTTTCACAATTCATTTTGGCATACCGTTGGTCTGTGGCATATGAAAGCTCCAATCATTTTACATGTTTGATGAAATACTTGTGAGTCTGCACGTGCGTCGACAGAGCTGGGTTCGGTGAGATTCTTGCACTCTCACGTGCAACTCTACTGCATTTTGCTAGATATTCTCAATTTCAGACTTCATTTTCCACCCTCTGTTATCGAACCGGAAAATCTCTCGATCATTTTATAATGGTTAATATAATCAAGAAAACAGTTCTTTGTCAGACATGAGTTATTTTGTCATGATCATGTAAAGTCTGAAAATCATTTTGCATTTTGTTAATGTATATAGTGCTTAAAAATAATTTTTGAATGCTTAAAAGGTGCCTATTTTTGATTGAAAGATTTAGCTACACACCCTGTTTCTTATTTTTGTCTTTTAAAAATGCAGACCTTTCAAAGCTTTTATGTGATATATAAAAATGATAGTTCAACTATATTATATTATTTCATTTATTATAGCATTATTTGTTTTATGTTGCGCTGTTTCTTATTTCTCCAAGTTTTTCCAGCAACTAAAACTAGCATCTATCCCTAAATAGTTTGAAAGATTGCAGTGAATGTGTGTTACCTCTTAATATTGTGCAGAAGTAAGTGTATAACTTATGCAGGGAAAGCAAGAGGGAATTTTTTTTTTTTTTTTACAGATCTCAGTGGCAACCCTGTTTAAGCAAAGCAGCCTATTTTAGAAACAAATCAAAAATATTTAAAGTGTTTTTTATTTTTTTTTTAGGCGAGGGGGCTTACTGTTTACTTTAAATGTAATTAAATATCTTGTCTACATTTTTTTTATTATGGAAATTTCAGTAATTAGAATTGATAATGGTTGATCTTTGTTAAATGTT